AATAAATGAAACACAACTTTGTATATATCAAGAAAATGAAATTGAAGCTTTGTGAAGAAAACTATTGTGGTAAAACATAACAAAAAATTTAAAAGGTAGAGTAGTTTTTTGTTGTCAACAAAAAAAATCAGTGTCAAAATTGATTTATATTTACTAAGTACTAGGTGATTTTCCCGTGCTCATGCACGGGCATAAATATTTATAAAATAAATATATTATAATAGTTGATTGATATTTACTTTAAATTTTATATTAATTTATAGTTTTTAGGTATAATTTATATTAATAATATTATATTATTTTAGTTATATATAATTTTAGATAAATTATATTAGTCAGTTTTATCATTTGGATATATATATATATATATATTGGATTATATATTTCTCTGAATTCAACTATAATCTTTTTTATCCTAAATATCTTAAATTTTTGATTAATTGTTTTATTTACATTTATGTTGGTTGTTATCTTAGAAATATAAGTATATCTTATTTTAAGATTTTTTGTGCTTAGAACCAAAAAAATAAAAACTAAAATGTCTGATTCTAAATTACTTACATAAGTAATAATAAATTTTTCGAAGCTTATGAACAGATATTAATATTTACAATAACTAAATATTTTATAAATTTTAAATAATTTATGCCTTAGATTGATTCGATCAAAAACTGAAATTTATTTTAAATAATTTTAAAATAAAGAATTCTGATTTACTTAAGTATTTTGATTATGGTTATATTAAATTCCACAAACATAAAAACAGAAAATTAAACATCAAAAGAGTTATTAAGAAAATAGATAATTTTAACTATTAAAATATAAAATATCTACCTCGTTAAATTATATAGTGTTATGATATTTTAAAAGAATTGTAGTAATTTGATCAAAAGATGTTTATTATTAAATTTATTTTTAGTTTTGTTTTTAATATCTCTTAAATATGCAGTAAAAATGTGATTGTTTTTGAGAAATTATATTATATAAGTAAAATATAATTTATATTTTTTTCTGTAACTGTAAGATATTATAATCAAATAAATATACTAATTATATTTTTTTGTCAATTAAACATATATCTGTTTATGTTATTTTATGTAATTATCTAATAAAATAGATAGATATATACAAAAACTAATTACTTTGAAAATATATATTTCTTTTTCTAATATCAGGATTATTTGTATGAACTTTTTTTATGAAAATACATTATATACAAATATTTTGTTCATCTAAGAAGAATATAGATATAAAGTATAATTACTTAAAAGAATAATTTATGTTATTTAAAAATATATTTAAGTTAAATATTACTATTTTGTAAACTTTCATTTTTTATGAAACTATATTATATATATACTTAGTTTTTTCGTTTTTAAATAGTTTTGTAAATTTTATGAATATTTCCTTTTTGTTTTATATTGTTATTCGGAAAATTTTAAAAAGGAAATAATAATATTTAATTTAATTCATTAGGGGTATCATAGTAACCAACCAGCGTGAGAGTTAATGTGAGCGCGACACCTAAGAAAGTGACTTCTCAAACAATATTATAGAGATTTATGTATATATTGTTTAAAGTAAACTTTATCAAACGAGCTATGACTTTTTTTCTCAGATATATAATGCAGATATGAAAACCGGTAAATATTCGTTTAATTGATTTACAGACCTTAATTGACCCGTGCGAAGCATGGGAGGTAACTAGTTTAAATATAAATTGATAGTAGAGAAGATACAATATCAAATTAACACATCAAAACATGTTAGTCAATAATATATTTCAGTATGTAATCTCTACTTTTCTCATATATGTTAAGTTTTAAAGAGAAAGCCGAGTGAAATCAAATGATAAGACCATATGAATAATAGGGATATCGGGCATAGCTATAAATGAAATTTGCTTAAATGATACTTACGGATGGTTAATCCAGTAAAACCAAATTAAAACAAAATATACAGTTTAATTTGGAAGCACCATATATATATTACGAATAATTTTGTAACGCCCCGACCGCCCACGGCTAATGGGCCACCCACGCCCGCTCACTCGGCCCGTGGGCCCCATCCCGTTCCAACGGTCGGTCCGTTAATTTTCTAAGGCTTTAAAGTTGTGTTTACTGACCCTGCAATCACCACCCGACCTTTCCCCGTGCTTTGACCTCACTTACACGGTATCGCAAATCCTTTGACTACTCCAGCTCAAGCACGCTTAACTCTGGAGTTCTCTCTGGATGTGCTCCCGAAAAGGTAAGTGCACTTTGGTGACATAGGTAGCCAAATCAATTCTCTTAAGCCTTTCGATATATCACAACTCGGGATGTTACAAATTTAGGTATAGTTCAGCAATAACTCGATAAAAACAAAATATATTATTTTTAATATTTAGTTACATATATATATATATATTACGAATAATTTATGTATGGTTCAGCAATAATTCGATAAAAATATATATTATTGGTGATATTTAGTTACTTTATTATATTAATGTTAAAAGTAATTTATTTTTCTTGTTTAATATTTGTTTTTAAAGAAAGTTGCATTATAACAATCTGTTAACATCTATGCACACGGTTAGGGAAAAATAAACATTAGCTTTGGTAACATTACGGAAATAGAAGAAAAAGAATATAAAAAGAACTAGCTCGAGACGCGCGGTGTGCACGGAAAATTTTTTTTTTTTAATTTTGTATAATTTTTTTTTAATAATTTACTTTTGTTTTGGACGTGTATATTACGTTTGTATTTTAGTTTGTTATTTGTTAACAAAAAAGTTTGTTTTTTAAAACACAATTTGGAAAAATAGACATTTATGTAAATTTTGATATATTCAAAATTTGAAAATTTTTGGCCCATATAAGAATAATAGATATTCCTTTGAGAAACATATATTTGCAAAATAGTTATACTTATTGTCTATGAAATTGGTCCATTAGTTAAAATAAAGAATCTATTTTGATCGAAAAGAAAATCTTGAAACTAAGGGTCCGACTGGTTTCCCCGCTACCACCCGCAAACGCAGCTTTTGCGGTTGATGGCGGTTGCTAGCGTTTTGCAACAATCACAAAAATCGCTACAAATCGCTTCAAACCGCTCTCAACCTCTTAAAATCAAAAGCTGGTTTCAGCTAGCGTTTGCGTTTGCGGGCGATTGCGGGTGGGTAAAAAAACTATTTTTCTTTTAAATTTAAATTTAAATTAAAATATAAAAATAAAAATAATATAACT